AAAAAGGGCATTTCAAAGAACTCAAAAAGATTCATTATGGCTAGACCAGATAGAACAAGGGTGAGAAATACAGAGAATCTGGTACATAAGGGAGGGCCCAGTAAACCAATCTTTCCCAAAGAACAGTATACCTTCTATTGGTAATTGAAATAACTAAGTGATAGCGGATAACCTTCAAAAAAAGTTTAATAGGTATATATATTTTACTGTGAATTAGAAAAAGGCTAGTACATTAAACCTGTGATTCCTTGGATATTAACTTAGGACAAGGATAAATTTTAAAGAGTGAACCATTTTAAAGTCTATTTAAAGATAAATATTAAATGAATAATAGTTCAAACAGTATGTGGATATGGCAAAAAAAATGAAAAATTGTCAAGAAAGGACAGAATGAACCATGGTAAGAATTTAAGACTTCACACAAAAGGGCAAGAGAAATCACTAGAGAGTTTTAAGCAGAGAATTTACATGATGAGATGTGCCATAGAAGAGCCCTCCGGCTGCAGCTGGAAAAAAGACTGATGAAGAGGAATAGGAGCAAAAGTGAATCCTAGGACACCAGTTAGAAAGAGGCTGGCAGAAGTCCAGGTGAGAAACAATGGTAAAGCCTGGAAAAGGTCATGTAATGGGGCTGGAAGAAAGTAAGAGAATTCAAAATATACTAAAAATGTAAGATGAGTCAAGAACAACAACATATAACCAGGCAAATAAAAATGTTTAAGTTATATTTTTATATTTGTTCATATTTTCCTAGGATACATTACCCCAAAATAGAACTACTAAGTCATTGTGTATTCTGATGCTATGTAATTAGCACCAAGAGCTACCTGACGTTACACCTTGACTGTAGGTTGTGACCTTTAGTAAAATACAGTGCGGCTCATCTGCTGTTCGCAGCCTTCTGCTGTACAGACCGAACTTTTCTTTCATTGTCCCCTCTAATATTTGGAAGGTTCTTTCTACTCATAGTACTCCAATTTTTTTCCTGCTAAATGGATCATACCTTCATGATCCTTAACCACTATAACAGATATTCTGTATGGAGAATAAATCAACAACAGCTGATCATTTAATTACTTGATTTAGTTTGTTTAGTTTTGTTTTACAATACAAATATTCAAAAATCTCAAAAGTACAAAACAACTTTCATACTCCATATTCTAAGGAATCTGAATCTAGGACTACATAATGAAAACATTTCCTATAGAAAATTTTTTCAATTTTTCCTACAGAAAAATTCAAATTGCATTTACATTTTTTTATTGTTACATTGTCTATGAGAGTCAACGCTTCTGGTTAACCAAGTAGAAATCTCTCCTACTTAAAATTTGTAAATCATGGAATCTTGGTTTCTACAAAAGATGGTAAGTAAAAATCATGTCAAATTTCCTTAGCACCTCTTTCTATTAAAAAAAAAAAA